CATTTGATAGCTCATTAATTATTAATTTAAAGATCTTAATAAGAACAGGCACAGTAGTCCATTGAAAAGGTTGTGCTTCTGCTTTACTTCTGGTCCTTACACCAGCTTCATTTCCTATGTAGAAAGTGTATATATAAATGTGTATACACACACACACACACACGAGAACATTTGTTTTTTATTTATTTCAATAAAAGTCAAATGAAAACAATATGATCACAATAAATAAAATATTTTACTTTGTAATTAACTCAAAGACAATAATACCCAATAAATTCCTTACCAGAAAATATTTGGTCCCCTTTTACAGTGATTTCATTCAATCTGGAGTCATCGTGTGTTACACCATGTTCCAATATTTTACATAACGCTACAGTAGCTACTTTACGTTCATATCTACCAAAAAAAAGATGTTGTCTGCTAACCCATTCAGACAACACAAAGGCAAGAGCACTTTGCCCAGTAGGGCCAGGTACCGTTGACAAGAAATTTAAAACAGCATCAAACTCTGTATTTATAAGATGAGCATATATCATAATCAAACTTTGCATGACTGTTAATGTTTCGGCCCTTTGCATTTTACTAAGAACAGCTTTTAATAACAAATCAAGATTTTCTCCTAATGTACTTCCAACGTTTCGTATCAAAGTCGTTACTAAACGGCCAACAAAGGTTGCTGTGAATTCGCTAGACTATAAATAAAAAAAGTTACTGCTTTGATAGTTATGTTCACTGTGAATTAAAAAATACAATATTTATATTACAATATTACCTGAGGATTTAATAACTGTGCAATTATTTGCAAAATATATTGTAATCCAGTTTGGCCATCGCTGTCTCTATGAGTAGTAACATGGCGTGCAGCTACAGATAAATACGTACGTATCACTTCGCCTCCACTTTGTAGTGTCCCATTATCTTCGGAGTTAAGAATGCAATGACAAGCAGCAGGAAAGGCAGTTTCGATCAAAGCATTACTTAATGGTCTTGGTGAATATTGAACGAGAACTTGTAAGATATCCAAAGCTACTCCGCGAGCTCCCTCTAATAAAAATAAACATAAATATATTTCTAAAATAAATACATACTATGTATTTACATTGTAAGAAATTCCCATACCATCCTTTGATTTATCCATAGGCGTAATGGCCATCATACTCACTAAAGTTGGTATTAAACGAGTTTGCAGAGGTTCAATGCAATTAGAATTTTGAGTTAATTCTTTAAATATATTCTGACACAAATCTAATATTACTGGATCACTATGAAACTTTAAAAAAACTGCAATTGTTAATGGGCATATTTTATTTTCTACAGAAGCAGTAAATGCTTTATCCAGCTGTAAAATTTTAAACAAATTTAAAAATGTATTGTAATTTAGAATAAAAAGAGATATATATATATTGTGAGTATGATAAATATTTTGCTATTATAATTACCGATATTACTGTTTGAAATGTTTCCATGACTAATATTAGAACTTCTGTAGATGCTTGACTAGATAAATTAAACAATCCTTGAAATATATTAGGTAAGTGAGATCTAATAATATTATTGGTAGGATTATTAGCATCTGCACAGGATATCTCACAGAACCAATAGATAGCTTTAACAGCGCTTATACGAATACATGATGGTTGATTTTCTTGTAAACCATTAACTGTTGCTTCTAGAAATCTTGAGCTCATTTCAGGCGGCATTAATTGAGCATACCTTCCACCGACGCATAAACAACGACCAAGAAGTAACGGTGGTGCATCTACAAAAAATAAATATTATGTAAATAAAATAATATGAAATAATTAAATTACGTTTTTTAATATAAATGCGTTTAAACAATATTTTTATTACTTGAATCATTCAAATTATTTAACACAACAGTATCCATAAATCTAATAATATCGAATTGCAATAATCCTTCTTGTTGTTTTTCTATCACTACATCTCTTGTAATACTCAATGTTAAAATGGAAGATTCATGTATTTTCCACCAATTTTCAATACTGCTATTATCATCTCCTCCAGCTTGTAGTCTATTTGTGGCTTCAATATGCCGCGTAATTGCTTCGCAAAGTGCATTCACTGCTCTTTCCTCAAAATGACTGATAACACCCTGAATACAATATTTATATGTAATTTGTTCTAATTGAATCACATCTTATGTACTTACTGCTAAGAATTCTTGCGCCGATATCCTCACGTTATAAGCAAACAAACATTGATCATCTTCTTCTACAAATTGATTAGGATTAGTTGTCCATAACTCAATCTGTTCATCCGTTATTTGCATAAAAATAATTAAATAATAAATTATTTCTTGTAGTAAATTGTTGACAAGGTTTGAAAACTTTTTATGTTCAATAATAGAATGAACAAATTCAAATATAGCAATGATAAGGTTGTTAAAATTAATAATTTCACCTGAAAATCATAAAAGATTAGAAATTGCTAATATCTGTGTTAAGTTTTTATTTCGTACAATTTTTAACATACCATCAGAATCTACTTCTTTATTATTTGTTTCTGTAGTCCCATTTACTGTTTCTTCTTGATAAATCTTTGCACTTTCAGTTAATGTTTCCCAAACTGGTGGTAACATTTGAGGTAAAAAGTTGGATACATATTTAGGTAACTTTGTAACAAGGCAGTTTATGGCTTTGATAATATCAGTTTTAAGTCCACTGTCACTTGTTGGACCATTAGCGACACGCAGGCACTGAACAAATTTTTCACAAAACATAGGAATAACTGGTTGCAAATATTGTTCTATAAATCCTTTATGATAAATTCCTGTAGCAGCTACGAGATTTGTAATGATCGTAAAAATTTCAACTGCACGGCCACGTGTTCTGATCGAATATTGCTATATAATATACCAAATTTAATACTTTTTTAAATCAATAAAATAAAACCAATATTGCTAAACATTTTAGTAAACTTACACTCTCACTCTGAAAGATTCTATACATCTCTTGTAATATAACAGGACCAACATTTGGTAATTGAGTATCGGTAAGATCACGAGTAAATTCTGTTAGAACTCTCATTGCCCCATGAACAGCATATTCACTTTCTCCACTCAAACAATTAACTAATATATCAAATAATCCAGACCAATTTTCAGGCCAATCCCAATGTGCTATACCAGATATTGCATAGGCTACTGCTGTACGTACCTAAGTTAATAGATAGATATGTTATATAAATAAAAAATTATATATATATATATATATATATATATATATATATATATATATATATTAAAAAATTCTTTATAGCAAAAGTATTAGAATTTAGTACCTTACTAATAGGTTCACATAATCCAAGTGGTAATAACTCTTTAATTCTTTCTTTAGTCACTTGTTTTAATTCAGGTGGCCTAAATTTTTCAGCTAGTGAAGTCCAATGTGTTTCTACATACTGCTTTAAAAGTATAGATGCTAATTGTCTAATTGGTAAATGACCATGAGGATCAATCACGAATTCGGTAAGATGAATACCAAATTCTTCTGTAACTTCAAGTGCTTGAATTCTTTGTTCAGCAGCTTGTCGAATATCCCGATGTGGAGACAAGATTCCTGTCAATGTTTCGTATAAAGCTTCCTTTAAGGAACCTTGTACATCACTCATACTTGTGCTCATTGTGAATTAGATGCTATCTATTGATTAATATCTATAACATTAATATTTTCCAATGATATTTATTATACAAATAAACATTAGGTTTTAAAAGTATATTATATTATAATATATAATAATATTATATATATATAATATTATTATATTATTATTATTATATATTATTATATAATAATATATATATATTATATATATATATATATATATAATATAATATAATACTTTTATACTTTTTAACATATATATACATGTATAAATACTCTATTACCCAGGAACATATTTTTTCTCTTATAAATTATTCTTATTGTTGTCTTATATTTATATAAGTATCTTCCAGTGTTGCATCATAACTTTTATATCATCATTACTGTAAAGTAAGAAAAGGAAAAAAATGTAAATTACTGTAAAATTTTAATCAAATGTTTTAAATACTTGCTAGTTGAGAGATTTAATAATGAATAGTATTCTTTGACGATCTTTTCCAAAAACCCGGTTTACGTAGCAGGTTAGAAATTCCAATAAGAGATTATATATTACAACTATTATCTCAGTAAGTACATTAATATAGTTATCACGATATTACTTAACATAATCTTTGATATAAATAATTACATATAAGAAAAATAAGTTTAATCATTGTACAAATTGTAAATGTATTGATGTGAAAAGAAAAAAAAAATATTGGAACCGGTTGTAACATGTGTCTGTTTAATTTTTTAAATATGACGTCATATGAGGTGTAAAATTGATAACTAATTATTAATATTTTACTAAAAATATTAATGAACTTTTTCTTTTATATCAGCAATTGCAAAAATAATCAACAATTAAATATTTAAAACCTGCGGTTCCAGCTCCACTAAAATAACACTAGAGTATTGAAGTGACATTAATTTCACCCAACTTCAACCACAGACAATATACAGGATAGTATAGGATAGTAAATATACATCCCGCAAGATTTCGTGTTCACAAAACTGTATTATCGATAGAGAGAACATTTTTTTATAATATTTTATAAAAATAAAAGATACATATTATATACATATTAACAATATAAAATATATACGCATATGTATCACATTTATTTTTTAATTAACCAAACTTAATCATATTAAACATTATAAAAATATAAATACAAACTAAATACATTATACAATATTATAAAATAAAGAATATATAACAAAACAAGAATATATAACATAAAATTCCAAAAAATAATATATCCTGTACAACATAAAAATTGTAAGCAAAGTTCTCGAAACAAATAAAAAAATATACATAAAAATTACAATAAGTATAATAAAAACAATAAAAATACAATAACAAATTGATATAAATAACATTTCAATTAAAGCAAATATTTTGCTTTTTTCTTTCCTTTCAATTTTGTTTAATTAGAAATTACTTTATTAAATTCTTTAATTACAGTATATTTGTTAACTATTTGTGTACATGATTACATATGAATGAAACTACTTTTACTTTTTCCTACCAATTTCATTCCATAATAACTTGGCCCATAATATAATAATTTATTACTAATCATAACAAATAGGCTAAATCTTTATACTAGACCATCACATTGACCACAAATAGAATTATAGTGCCGAGAATATCCGACAGATTCTTCTAATTTTTAGTCACTGAAGTATAAAAGAAATAGTATATATATAGAAGAATGAACATGTTATTTAAAAAGATTATAGAATTTTATAGGCTTGTAACAATTGGACTATTCCTAAATTTTGCATTCACTTTACTATTTGAATTTGAATCCTCATTAATAACACTGTTAACAACCACATTTTCTTTTTGTTGCTGTTGGATTCGATTTTCTTGTTTATTTGATATGAGATCTTCCATTTTTTTTCCATTCAATCTCATAATATCCGAATGTGTTCTAAAATGTAATCTAGTTTCCAATAGATATCCGGTATAATTTTTTCTAAAAAATATAATATTGCAATTAATTATTGTATATTATATGTATACATAACATATTACTAATAATTACTTTGCATCCTCCAAATATGAAGCTGCAGTTTGAGTGTCCTCTTGATCTTCTGCTAATAAAGCAAGTTCAACAGTGGCATAAGGAACTAGATAAGTATCTTCTTTTATAAACTTATCTAACTCTATAACTTGTTTTAGACAATGCTCAGATAATGCATGATGTCCCATTTGACGAAGACAAGCACCTTTCAACATTAGAATAAGTGCTTCATTGTCTGCATGATAATCTGTTTTTCTATAAAGTGTTTTAAAAAATTAGAGACAAATATGAAAGAAAAATTTCAACAAAAAAAGAGGGAAAAACTCACAGTGTTGAATTTAATTCTTTTTCCTCATCCTCGATTTTTTTATACATATTTAAAATTAAATCCCTTCGTTTACCAATTATGTTGAATAAATTCCACAGATACATAAGCTCAAACACAGGAAGGATTAATTTCTTTTTCTGTGCAAAATAACGTTCTACCTTTTTTACAATATACTTTTCAAATGGTAATGATTTTCCAGCAATGCGTTGTTTGTAAGTCGGTGCTTGCATCATTAAATCATCTATAATATATTTGTCTTCAGTATTTGGATTTTTCATTAAAAGAATTGCAGCTTTTTGATAAATATATATTGTTCTAGACCATTTTGATTCCTCAGCTAACTTAGTAGCATACTCAGCAGCTTCATTCCATTGTTGTTTAATACAATGAGCCCACATTAATTCCCAATAACAACCACAATGAAATTGAGGCCATATAGTTTGACTTTTCCAAGACTTTTCATACCATTCTATAGAATTTTCAATATTTCCTTTTACTAATTCAAGTCTTCCTTTAAAGAAAAGAAACCATACACCATTTGGATAAGAATTTAATTCTTCATCTAATGCTTTTTCACACCAATCTAAATCACCATCTTCATGACTTAACATAAAACAAGCATATAAATGATAAGTCAGTAATGTCATTACACATAATATTTGACGAAGACCTCTCCTTTCTGCAAATCCTGCTTCTAATTCACTAATACCATAATCCTAAAAATGACATTGTAATAATTTTTTAAATTTCTATATAAAAAAAAGTCATATAGCATGTTCTAATATATTAAAATAAGTCTCATTACCTTATTACCAGAAAATCCAATAAATTCCAGTAATTTAATAACACGAGCAGGTAATAAAGAAATCATCTATAATTTCAAAAAATATAGTTAATCATATTAATTCTCATCTCTCAATATATTTGTTATTATTTATATGAAAAAATTTTTATATTGTACAAATAATTTTACATACCAAATTAAATGTGCCAATACCCATACGAACACCACTTTCAAAGTGAACTTTTTGTATTTCATTCTCCCATTTACGATTATTTAGAATTGTTAAACATTCTCTGTAATGTAAAAAACGTTGGATAGAGATGTTTCAAAAGAAGAAAAAGAAATATAATAATCGCGTTAGGACTTATTTACTTGTATGATAGAAAGCAGGTACGGATTTTCAATCCAGCCTTGACAAAGCTGACCAGAGTCTCGTCCTCCACAAATGTGAGCATGGACTTTAAAAGAAGTGACTCAGCATAGCAGAGTTCTGCATGCACTTCCTCTGCAATATTAATTTTCTATCATTCCTTGCATGCACTACTCTTAACTTAATGAAGTTATTATGTATGCTAAAGTCAATGCTACAAATTAATGATAAAGTCACACTTGTGGATCTGATAGTTGCTATATATTTTGTATTACACTCGAAGAAAAAGAGAAGTTAAATGTCGTAAAAAGAACACGAACAATACAAATAATGTTATAATTTAATATTCGTAATATATATAACAAATTTAATTTATCACATATTCCCCAGTCAATGCTTTGGACTGATATATTACACAATAGCAGTAGTTTATACTAATGTTAGTTGCTACTCTGACATGCATTATTTACAAATAAAGCTTTATGATATTTGTAATAGATTGTATATGGCATGAAAGAAAAAAGCATATACATTACCAATTGTATAAGCGCCATAATTAGTCTTCTTAACAATTTTTCCAATGTTTTGTGTAATTGTAGTATGTTTGCGGTGTTTTGAACACACATTTATACATTGTTTCAAAGATTCAGATGCTTTCTCAATGTCTTTCTGAATAATGTATATGATAATGTATTAAAAAAGTAATAGATTTTATATATCAATGAATAAAATTATGTTAATTAATTCTTCATACTTGTTCAAATGTAAGCATAGCTTCCAGAAATAAAAAGACACTTGTACCTAAAGAATGGTACATGCTACTATGCGCCCATGGTTCCATAATTTTTCTTGCTTGATCAAAATCATTATTAAAGAAATAATAAATTGCCTTTCTTGATTCCATAATAGCTGTATCTAGATCCATAGAAGTAGATCTGTAAAGCAATATTTATCATTGTAAAAAAATATATGCATATTTATAAAATAAATAAATATATTTAACTTACGAAGTTGGAAATTCTTGAGCATCTTGAAACTATGATGACAATTATTAAATACGTATTAATAATTTAAGAAAATATACAATAAATAGGATATGTTACATCGTGCATTGCAAATATGATATTAGCGTATTATTTAACTCTAATATTTATATACATACCTCATCTTCTGCCTCAATGTCCGACATTTTTCAATCAGAAAATAAACAAATCTATAACAAAATATATATTATTAATCTCTTATACATTTTAACATTAGTTAATTTCTTTATTTATTTACATATCACATATTCAATAGATTGAGATATATACATATTAAATAGGATCAAAGACAGAAAATTTATATTTAAAAGCAAAAACTTAAAGTAATCTAAGGAGAAAGTTTTATTTTATAGGATTGATTTCTCAAGTGTGCTCCTTCAATTTTAGGTCATTATTCTATAAGCAACGCCTAGTTTCACAATGAAAAGTATATAAATCTCTGACTTTCTACTGATAAAAATAATTTTTTGAAATATTTTATTAGACATCTTAGTTAATACTTTAATGTTTCAATATATCCAGTATATATGCAAATTTGGTTATTCTAAAATTAAACCCATTTGATATTTTTTGTTAGATTGCTTTATCTTTATATAATCATAGAGTAATAATTTATTATTAAAATAATAATTATGTATATAATCATATTAAAAATAGAAATAAATTATAAGACATAAAGGAATGATCATTTAAAAGATATTTATTCTGAAACATAGAAAACATTCTTACAAATATTGGTATATAAAAACTAATGTTACTTTTTAAATACGATGCATAGGCAAAAAAATTGACTCATATATAGAAAAAAAAAACGATACAAGAGATAAGGCTAAGCAAGATAAGGATATAAAAAAGTAACTAGGTTGTTTCAAAACATATTAAAATTTTAAAACGTTTGTAATCAATGTCTTTAACATGTTTATCGTTAAATAATATGATACATTGACGTAAAAGGCCTATATTTTATTTAATTCTTGATACGAAAGACAATAAGAGAAAATAATGATCAATATGTTTACAAGATAAGCATGAAGGAATGATCAAGGAGTGGAAAATAAAATGATAGAGGGGAAGGAAGCGGTGGGGGGAAGGAAGAGAGATAGAGAGAGAGAGAGAGAGAGAGAGAGAGAGAGAGAGAGAGAGAGAGAGAGAGAGAGAGAGAGAGAGAGAGAGAGAGAGAGAGAGAGAGAGAGAGAGAGAGAGAAAGATTTTAAATTTCATTTAAAATGTCAAAAAGAAAAGAAAGGAAAAAGCGATGTCGAAACGAAAGGACGATTTCGTAATGAAACCTTACTTACCTTTGCTTAATCGTAAAATCGATAACTCTTCCGGACCAAAAAAAATTCCAGACGAAATTATTACATTTAAATATTTCTAAAGAAATATTTTGCAAAAAAGTTAGCCCCAAGTATTTCTTTCTTTTCTTCTTCTTCTTCTTCTTTTCTTTCCTCTTTTTTCTTTTTTTTACGAATATTTTTTCGGTATAGGTAAAATGTTTGGGGAAAAAAAACACAAATCGATCAATATAATGATACGGAGCGCATCACTGCGCGCGTTAGACTGACTAAATTTTAGGTCGTCTCGTTTGAACGTGTCGTATTCGAAAGACGACGCATCAGTGTTGACCTCTATATAAGATTAAGAGAGAAACGTTTCCTTAACTCATCTCAATGAATATAACATACGATGCATTTTTATATGTACAAATTAGGATTTACAGTGTTGTTTACTTCTACTTTTTATATTTAGTTATATGAATTCTAGTAGAGTCAATTATCTTACTTCTATACGTCATTTACATCGAAATAACAAAGAGAAGTAATATAGGTTGGAGTGTCATTGCATTTACACGTGATAGACCACTTTGTATAAAATCACAGATAGCTCGCACGCATACTTAAGAATATATATATTCATATACTCGGAATACATATACTTAACATTTAAGTATAAAAGGTGCGCATGCACCAATGAAGTTGTACGTACTTATAGGTACAACGTATCTGTATATATCTCTTATCATTCACTAAGATCTATTTCACGTATTAAAGTCAATATGATATAATCTTTCACTTAATATTGAATATATTGTTAGAAATATTGTTATTTAACCTTTTCAAGATAATTGAAATTCATTGATTTTTATTTATTTGAAAGTTTGAATGAAAATATTTTTGTTGAAAATAAGCTTCAAGATAAACCTTATATATTGAAACTTTGTTATCATCGTGTAATAAAGATGGTCATATCAAAAGAATATAGATATGAATACAATAAGTATTATTGTCTTTTTAATCAGAATAATTATTTGCTAAAGAAAAATTGAAAATTGATTTAAAATCCATATTTTTCTGTTAATTAAAGATCAAAGATAAATACTTCATTTAAGATTAAGTGCTAAATCGAAATATTATGATAAAAAAAAAAAAAACATGCGTAGAATAATCGCTTAAAAAGTTTTCTCTAAAATATTTTTCAAATATGCATATTAAAAACATTTTAAATTAGCGATTATATAGTGAAATAGAGCTAGTATATGTAAAACCAAAATTAGTGTAGCGTCGTTAACCTATGCTGGGCGTAAACGGACCAACGTAATGACAATTACGTTAACCTGCTATTATGTGAAAAGGCAGCAATCAGGGAGTAGTATCTTTTCTTACGAATAATCTTATACTTATTCAATGTCAAAGAAAAAACTCATTCGCGGTTTGGGTTGAACGAATAGATCGTAGATCAGTTCGTTCGTTGTTTATTAGAAGTATTTTGGTGGCAGCACTTGCATGAAATTGTTGTACGTCAAAAATATTAAACGCTTACTGAGAAAAGTTTTTTTTTCTTTGTAATTGTGAGAATAGAAAGGTTATAGGGTTGAACTTACTTGAATACGAGATTCATGGTAAAGACTTATAATTCTTTCGTTTTTCTTACTCTTAAGTATCATTTATACTATATCATTATAAAAATGTTAATTAATTTTAAATGTAACAGTATATAGATAGCGATTAATTGACTAGTAAAGTATCCAGCTCTTTTCTTACAATTTGCATAATTACGACGATTGTAAGGCTATGAAAGATATCTCTGTTATTAAAAACATTTTATCTTCTTTTTACTCGGATTCGTCGATGCTAATAATTCATTGAGATGCTTAACCTCCTTGAATTCGTCAATGAAACAGAAAGAAAAACTCATTGTTTTCTTCTTTTTTTATTTTTTTTTTCTCAAAAGAATTATTTTTTTTTTCTTTAAAGCACATTAGCATCAATTATTGCGAGATTTAAATAATTCAATTAAATTAGTTACAACGAATATAAAATTGTTGTCACAATATGTTTCTGCCGTATGAAATAATCTTTCTACATATGTTTCTGAAAATAAAAATAATTCTTATGGTTCTATTCATAAGTTTTATAAGCTTTTTTATTTATATTAATACATATTTTTACAAATCAATTAGTATATGTGTTAATATTACATGACAGATACTGATAGGTATTTAATCAATACATTATAACATTTTTATTTTTTATGACAATCATATCTTGTAAATTTTAGCAATAGTTTTTAAGGTAATGAAGGAGAATCATTATTTCTATGGTGGTTACGGAAAAGTGGCTTGTGCCAGTTAATCCAATTCCATAAGATAATGGAGAATCAAAGCCATCATAATCAGATTCTTCAAACGCATCAATCTTTTTGGAAAAAGAATACTAGAGCTGTACCAGGCAGGTATGTCTTATTTAAAATGCAATACCTATAATTATATTATATAAAAATATAATAATATTTGAATCAATTTAACTTGTTTTATATCAATTCAGTTAAACAAATTGTGATTTATATCTAATAGATTCCATACTTATTTAAAGGCCAAGTCCCAAACAAGATGTTAGACATGATAAGATAGGTACAACAATGATCACATCCAGTGGTTTGACCAGTACAGTTTCAGTCGGTAGTGGTGGCAGTACAGGTGGAGGAAGTGGTTCTACATCCTTTCAAGATTTTCAGGAGAGCGTGGATGATGCTTGGGATTCCGGAGATGATGAATTCTGTACAGTTTCTGATGTAAAAATATCAAAGAGAGTTAGTCATTCAGCTGCACTTAGTGTAATTAACAGTCATAGATCAGGCACTGCAAGCAAAGAATTACAAACAAATCCTAAATTAGTCCAGCGAACTCAAGAAATCATTCCTGAAGAAAAAAAAGCAGAGGCTCTCCAAAGATTAGCTGTCCAGCCATTGCATCTAAGGAATGCTAACTTGTCTGTTTATCCTCAAATTAATAATAGTCAGCATTCTACAGAAAATTCTGATTCCAAATTTGGTCAGAATACTTCTCCCCAACATAGGCCAACACAATTTCCTGGTAGACCACTTCCATTAAGGCAAACGAATTCTTCTACAAAATTTTTTATACCTTCAAAAGAACAAGGTAAGAAAAAATATAGATCATTTCTAACTTGATTATTTATTCGTACATATATATTATTATTTTCAGATGGAGAAAGTAAAATAGATAAATTTAAATCTCTTTTGGATGCATCTGTATTAAATTTAGAAGAATTAAGACAGTTATCGTGGTCAGGTGTTCCAGCGAAGTTACGATCTGTTACCTGGAGATTATTGTCTGTAAGTAAGACAGGTAATCTATACCGTATATTTATTTGTTTAATGTACCTCTTAAAAATAAGTATTGTTAAATTATTCTTTATTATACACAGGAATATCTTCCAGCAAATATAGAAAGGAGGCAACATGTCTTAGAACGTAAACGTTTAGATTATTGGAATCTAGTAAAACAGTATTATGATGTGGAAAGAGATGAAGGATTCCAAGATACATATCGTCAAATTCATATTGATATTCCAAGAATGTCTCCCCTCATTTCATTATTTCAACAGACAACTGTACAATTAATTTTTGAAAGAATACTTTATATATGGGCTATTCGACATCCAGCTTCTGGCTATGTACAGGTATATTAATAAGTATGAATATTATATTATAATTGAATGTTGTTTCATGTTATATTATAGCTATTTCATGTTATATTCTACCTATTCTAAAAGTATTTAAATATTGATTTTAGTTTTGATATTGTAGGGTATGAACGATCTTGTTACTCCCTTCTTCTTAGTATTTTTGCAAGAGGCTATACCAGTATCAGCTTGGCAAGATATAGAAAATTATGACTTGGCATCTTTAAAAAAAGAACAACGTGATATTATTGAAGCAGATAGTTTTTGGTGTTTATCCAAATTTCTTGATGGTATCCAAGATAATTATATATTTGCCCAATTAGGAATACAACATAAAGTGAATCAATTAAAGGAACTTATTCAAAGGATTGATGGTATTTGTTTTATGATGAATATAAAACGCAAATTTTTTATTAACCTGTAAATATTACGAAAATTTTCTATTATAGCTCCTTTACATCAACATCTTCATCAACATGGGATAGATTATTTACAATTTTCTTTTCGATGGATGAATAATTTATTAACCAGAGAAATTCCATTGCATTGTACAATTCGCCTGTGGGATACCTACTTAGCAGAATCCGATCGATTCGCTTCATTTCAACTTTACGTATGTGCAGCTTTTCTTCTTCGTTGGAGACGTCATTTACTCTTACAACCTGATTTTCAGGCAAGTTTAACTTGTATTCTTTCATAATTAAGAAAAAAATATCGACACATTTTTATGATTTAATATCGTTGATCATAGTACTTTTTATGTGTTTGTTTTAAATATAGGGCTTGATGTTGATGCTACAGAACTTGCCTACACAAAACTGGACAGATTCAGAAATAGGTATTTTGGTTGCAGAAGCCTATAAATTGAAATTTACATTTGCAGATGCACCTAATCATCTGCAAGCTCATGACTCCAGGTGACCTTTTTTCTACATGTTCGGCTAATATTGTTACTATAGTGGCCAAAATAACTGGCATTAGCTCGTATTGCCAGTTTAATTAATTCTCCCTTTTTATAATTATATAAGAGTGAAAGTCAGTCCACTGTAACTATTTTTAAAAGAGATTCGAAGATTTGTTTACCTTTTTCTTTAATTCATATAATCGTTAAGTTTTTGAAAGACGGAATGTCTTTGTAAATTTTATTTCTATTTCTATAGTAGCATATTATAATTCAATTACAAATATACTCGCCATTTTTCAGTTTACAGATATGTAAACATAAGAGGTAAAAGAGGAACCTAACGCGAATCGATTGTCATATTTTTGATTCACGTTATGTTTAGATAAAATGCCTCTAATATTATATATATAGATAATATATAAACAGAAGTTTTATATATTGATACGATGTTTGTTTTTGTATATTATACTTCTATTCCCCAATTTTATTTAAGATTAAAAAGATGTAAGAGTTTGAGCCATGTCAATTCATCAAAATACTTTAATCACTCATCAACGCGATAATGTATCTATTAATACATTAAAGGTAAGTGTATATTTATTGTAATAAATTTTTTGTTTTGTTTTTATAATGTTATGAATAAATATAATTACATACAAAATGTTATCTATTTCATATTATTTAAAGAATAAGCTTTACTTAATTTATTTGAATGTTCACTTTACATTTCTTTAGTCATCTTCGATATCGATTTGACCGTAATCTATATCTAATGGTTGCATAGCTGATAATGTTTCATTTACGTTAAAAGTTTCCTGGTAAATAGAAAATAACGTTCAAATTCATTCGTATTATCCGATTGAATGTAACATGTTATCTATACTCACGTAATCCACTGTAACAGGCGTTGGGTAAATACAGGGCATACATTCTGTTTTAGTAATTCCATTATTATCGGCCGTACATTCGCAGTGTTGACACGATCGTGGAAAAGCAGTGTGCGCTATCCTCTTGGAGAATACGGTAACAAATTTTTTAATGGAAACGAGCTTATCAAAACGTAATTTATCTCCACTGAATATTGTTCCATTAGTCTCTAAGGAAAGTGGTGTACAATAGCCTAGGACATTTTTCATCGATTTCATTTGCCTTCTTAAATCTGTATCACCCGTTAAATTTCTCGTATCTTTCTTTGTATACGATTTATTCGCATCGAATCCATAAAAGATTTTGTTAAGTCTTTCTTTTTCAAATTGAAAATCGCCATCCATCAGTATATGTAATACGATATCGTGTTCTAGTAATACTTGATGTACTACGGCATAATCCAACTAAAGAAGAAAATGAAATTTTTCATTTTAAATACGAATTAATTATACCTCCTTAATATTTATACAATATACATTCGATCGTAATATTTCATACATACCGTTTGATTTTCCGGTTCGCAATGAGAACATGGTAGCAAAATGAAAGTTTTAGAAACTCCAGCTCTAAAGACGAGTTGTGAAGCGAAACCAATTGCCGCGAATATATCCTGATTACCATTGCTAACTGGTACATGATCAAAATAATCGATAAAGCGTATTAGATTTTTTGTAAAAACTTGACCGTCGAGAATTACGCTTCTTGGCTGATCGTGAACTCCATGCCCACCAAAAGTTACGAGTGACCAACGATTCGAAATAAGTCCTTTGTCCTTGAGTTCTTTATTCAGCTGATTCACCAGCTGTTCAATACTACGATTTTGCCTTATACCACGATTACATTCTTTTGCCTCTACGATGAAGACGATGTCCGTTGACTTTGGTATCGCATTTCCTTCTAATTTTCTAAATTCGCCTTCGGCTATTTGAGTGCCGTTTATCATAGTACAAGTAGTACATTTATCAGGAATTCTCAGATACGTATTGTGAAAAACGCAAACTTGCATATACGCAATAGCGATTGTACATGCCTCGGATTCCGTAATGCTATTTAAACACATTTCAGCGTATTCTTTTGGATCGAAGACAGCAAAACACGAACTAAATTCCGAAGTTTGATTGACGAAAAGTTCTTTGCAAAATGACGAGACGTGATTTTTCATTTCTTCGGTATTGTTCGGAGAATACACTTTTTTCGTGCAACTATCTTCGATAGACCAACTTTTAGCAAAACGATCTATATTCTTTGTCATTATACCTGATGATGTAATAGAATCATCTATTTTTTCGTTATTCATCGTGCCAAGAAGACCCGCTGTTTTTCCATAATACCAGCCAGATAATTCCACCGTACACAAGTCGAATTTAAGATTACATTCTAATCGCAATTGATCTTTTTTACGTTCAATAGTTACTATATTATCCTGTTGATACACATACGTCGTGCCATTCTCTAATTCTATCGGGAGAGGAAGATTACTTTTCGACTCTGAGGATGTATTCGAATTCAATCTTACCACCTGCAAGACAACGTTATAAAGCTTTACCATAATCGTATTTTAATTTTTATATTTTATGTTTGTATTATTAATACTAACGTCGTTGAAAATATCTATCTCGATCTCGTTTTTGTCAATCAAAACGATGATATGATGGGTCAATTTATCAGACTCTTGATTGTACCTAATAAGAATGGCAAAGGTATTTCGAACGAAATCATGAGCAAGCAAATACGTGCAAGATCCAACAAGATCAAAGTGTAGTCCATCGAATGTCTTGAAATGTTGTGATCCGATTATCATTGCTTGTGCTGTAAGTAAAAAGATTAAAGTAAATGAAATATATATTATTTGCCAATATGATTTAACGGATTTACCTTTGAACGGTGGTAGCCAGTTTGATGGTTCGGTATATGGTTTGTATTGATAATAAAGACTCCAGAAGGTAGTATTGGACGTTACGAAATACGATCCCATATCAATGATCGCTCTATATTCAGGAATTTCTTGGAATTCAGGTGTTTGATTAAACGCATGCCAGGACATCGGAAGTTTTTGTTCGAGACACATTAAACCTTGATTCGGATCAAAGAGAAATTTTGTTTTAGCTTCTCTATAACGACTTTCAGCTTGGAGCGCTGTCTGGCTTATATCAATCAACTTGGCGTGAGCAAATCTAATAAGATATTCTATTTTAGCTCGAATGTCTAAATAGTTGTAAAAGTAGTTCACTTTATCGTATACTTGTTGCATTTTTTCCAAGGTATAATGGACGGTTGGTAACTTTTTCAATTCCTTTAATTCGACTATAATTTCATCGATTACATCTTTTAATTCTTTACCAAAAGGTACAAAAGCGAAATATCGTTCTTTCAAAAATCGTATCACCAAGCCAGAATATTTCTCTATATTAGTAATTATGTTATTCCCTTTGATATCTTTGTAAAATCTATCGATATCTTGAGTAAAGTTCGCAAATCTATCAAAATACGGTGAAGCAATGATCTCGTTTTTGCGATTGTAAAGAAAATCAACAACCTCTTTGCTAATTTTCCAGACCATCGTTTCGAGATAATGTAACAGACGAATGAATAATGGTTCCATGAGTTTCAAAAATTTATTCCACTGTTCTGATATCGATGATGAAATATTGTTCCAAAGATTTTCTACGTATTGGATAAAAGACACGTGAATGTCCTTGATAAACATGTCATATTTCTCTATTAATTTCTCTATTATATCAACCAATTGCGTCATAGAATCGCCTCTAAGTATGGCAGCAATAATCTCGGTGATTTTGTTATAAGCATTTTTTATTGTTTCGATAATCCAGATTAAAGAGTTCCTTATAGCTTCACCAGATTCGCCCATTATTTCCCAAATTTCATTTAAAATATTTGGCAATGATTCTATGTGACTGCGTAAGGAGAATTCGTCTATGATATATACAACAAAGACAACGATATCTTTTATATAAAAGTCATTGGCATTGTACGAATCGTTAAGGTATAATTTCAAGTTTTGGAAATCCGTCTCAAGTTGTTTCAAATCACTATAACAACATTTCAATTTTTGTAATACATTTGTTTTTATAATAAATCTTCAATTAACAAGCAGAATCTTTTTCGATACTTACTTCCAATCGTCAATGAATTCCTTAAGTTCTTCTTGAGAATCTTCCCACACATTCGAAATAATACTTACACTTTCACTTTTAATGTATTGTTTCCAGTATTCAATATCCTTATTGATACCTTCGTACGCTTCTGAGATTCCCGTTTTTATGGCATTCTAAAAAGTATATATATATGTATATATAAATAAAAGTTAATTATAAAATAATTTAAATTATATTATGAAACGTAATTAAGATCTTTACTGTAATGTCGTGTTTGAGTTCGGGTCTCCACTTTAAAGTGGAAGTAACTAGCCTAGAGTGATTTAATTTCAAATAAAAGGAAACATCATACACGTTGAGATCGTCATCGTAAGTTCTCCATATATTGAAAACAGTATTTCGAGCATCTGGTATTTTTCCGTACATTCTTAAACTCTGTACAGCATCTGAGATAATAAATTAATGATTGAAATGTAACTAGATTTAATCCCTTCTAGTTAGTTTTTTAACTTACCAGGTGTATAATTGACCATCATCCAAGTAAATTTATCCTCTGGATCGAGAAAGAAAAATCCGGTAGCATTGAGATCGGGTGTATTTATAATAGTACCATTGATGACATATTGTGGGTCCGTACGATAATATCTCACTTTCAAATATTTTACCATATCGTTGTTCTCACGATGAAATATGACTTCCTTTCGATCGATATCCAAACGCCCACTTAATTGTCCTATTTCTTCGGGTAGAAAACTACGTTTATACTTACCATGATTTTCCGTTTCTACGTAAACGTATTTGTGTTTGTGGAAGAAACCTTCGATATTGAGATCTAACTCAGTTTTTGGATGTTTTCCTGATATACTATACACATACTTTCTATTATTTGGTAAATCACTCTCGTCTTTTATCATTACAGCAAATTCCAAAAGTTTATCCGGATTTACAGAATAATCAACGACCAATGCTAAGTTTAATAAATCTCTAATATTTCTTTTCAAAAGTTCACCCTTTAAAGTTACTACTTTGGCGAAACTTGGATGCCTCAGACTTAGAACAGCTTGTTCCTGTGCAAGCATTTTTGTAGATGTGACGTTTTTCCAATCGAAACCAATACCTATCGTACGAACTCGTTCCTTATCTTGATCCCATTCAAGTTTTGCCTCGGAATTGATCTCTTCACTCGTAATTCTATAAGAACCATCGAACGTAAAATTTTTTTGAGGATACACCAAATTGAAAAGTAAGAATTGTGTGTCCACGTCCTCGGTAGTTTTATTAAGGATGTTTATGTGATACGATATCCAAGCATCCTTTGCTAAACTTAAGCAAGTATAATGATCAAATTCTCCTGATAGTATTTTGTAATTAGTCTTTAGCTGAACCATACGATTTGAATGTATCGCCTTTAGATCTATATCCTGACCAGTGTGCATCGTCTTGATTCTAGATTCACCAGAGATATTAAATGCTGAGACATTGTTTAATTGATAGATGTTCACGTATTTGATCTCAACTGTTGGATAATTTGTTCCCTCATTTCCTCCACTATATTCATACTGGTTTATATAAATAATACCTATCGGTTTAAATTTATTCTCTATTTTTATTTGGATATGATCTTTTTCGAAACCTGCTCTAGATTGACTCTTTGAATTATAATCCGCATGGAATATTGTTTGTTGATTATATGTCAATGTAGAATATCCGTTGGTAATCTGAGGATGTTTCTTATAACCATAAGTTAAATGACCAATATGACGTGTACTTAAAGGAATTTCTAATTGGAAGATACCATCTAAGGTGGAATTAAGCTTCACACTTTGATACGAGTAGTCTGAATTTAAAAGAGCAGTATTATTAGGCCAGAAAAATTCTATAAATCTCTTATTCTGTTTTCTGAAAAATAAAAATACAATAGATTTGAAAAAATTCTAAAATATTTTGTATTAATTTACTTACAAAGTCGTAAAAACGATGAAGTTGCAACCAACGTAAGTGAAATTTGATATTGGTATGGTAGCATTGATAGTACCATTGATATTCGATATATTTTCATACGATATTCTTGCCGTAGAAATACGTTTCCTCGCAGGTAAAAACAAATTGACCTCGATGAGATTGCATTTATCCGATTTGGCATCGTAATTAAATAGAATCACAAGTGTCTCTTCTTGCAGATATTTCGGCGAAAAGAGTGAATATTTCATTTCGATTTCTTGCTTATTAAAGGTCATATTGAACAAATTATTTGCAGTCTGATTAGGTAACATTCCCCAGGTTAAACGCAAGTGTCCGTCGATATCTCGAGCTGCAACTCGAAGCTGTTGATAATAAATAATTATTTATAATACTCGATAACTTGATAACGTCAAATAAGTATTAAAATAATGAATACACGAACCGAACCGTCAGATGCATAATTTGTCTTTGCTTTAAGAGCATTATATCCTATAACGTAAGACATATCTTGAACCCCATTATTGGCATGATAGCTGAATAAGAAACGATGATTATCGTTATCCGGTGGAGGAAGCCTAACAACGAATACCGCATCAATATTCTCATGGTTTCGGAAACCAATGCTGGTATTGGTACCAAATTTCCATTGTTCATGATCGATATCTATATCAAATCCAGTATTAAAATTACGAAATGATCGTTTTGGATTTCTGAAAAATAACTGTGCATTTATGTCTTTAGTATCATGACCATCTATTTCGTATCCTGCTACGATTTTCCCAAACATATCTATCATATACATTAACTTCCATTCTAATGTTGCATAATAACGATCGTTATTTAAATGATGATTCGCTTTAACCATACCACTATTGTTGGTCAAAAACATATTTCCATTCAATTTCAAGCTTTGTATTTCTTTCCAAGGTGTGGAACCGTGTACGTATAAGGTCGTATTACCATTTACTTGAACGTTCATGAATGTCGTTAATTCATAATTTGTATTATTTTCTTTGTTTGTACCGTGTGCTCTAACGTCCCAATTCAAAGTGTTAATTACATTCATATCGACGGAAGCGTTGAAAAATCGACTATCAGCAATAAAAGACAGTTCGTATTTCTTTCGGATTAATTTAAAATTAATTTCATTAATGTTGGTAGTATCCCCTTGTGGTCGTAACTGCATGCCTACGCTCGACAATGTATTCTTTTGTACAATCATATTCATCAAAACATCGTATACTTTCAAATCCTCGAGATTTGTCATTTTTCCCTCTAGAGTATATAAGCTGTCATTTTTCTTTATCACATCACCTTGAAATTGTAGATGTTTTTTAGAAACTAAAGGCGTATATATATCAACTTTGACGACACCTGTATTGTAATTACTAATAAGTTTAAATTTTTGATTGGTATTGTAAGTTAAGTTCATGTTTAGATTTAATATGTTGTTCGAATTAATTGTATTAACGCATAGTACATTGACTTCCAATTTTTTAAGTAATTCAATCCAAGTTTCTAATGATACAAATGCTTCGATGTAGTTTCTATCTTCCATTTGCCAATATGCTTGTACTTTCGACTAAATAAATATCAAAATGTTAGATTGTTATAATAAATTTTTTTTTTATATATTTTTTTATATATATATATACTTACAGATCTTTCCACAGGACCATATATCACAGTACTAAACTCAAATTGCTTTTTCTTATCGATGAAATTTTTCTTTAACATTAACTTAGTTTTTGGTATTACCAATACTGGACTATCAATGTGAATGATGAGCATAGTATCCATAAAAGAATCCTCTGCCTATTTTAAAAAAAAATATAATTTTTCAAATATAAGTCTAGTTTGTGTAAGTATCTTTGTTTAAAATGTATGTCTCTCAATATTTGCTACCTCGATAGATCCTAAAAACTCAATGATACTATCTTCGGTACAAAGATTAATATTTGTTTTGTATAAATTTTCATCGATATCAATGACAACCCTTGTATCGATCAATTTTAAGAATTTTAATGGCGTCATTATATTGAACTTTATTGTATGTGTTTTCCAATCATTCTCTTCTTCTTGATACGTATAATTTACATTTAGTCCACTCTATATGATATAACATCTATTTATTATACGAACGTCACAGTAAAATGAGTAATAATTATTAATATTAACAAACCTTTATCCATGTTACATTATTTTTGACATTGACTTCCATCTGCATTAAATAAATTGATTTTTCCATATCTATATCAAAAATATATGATGACGTAATCTCTCGAGCAACATTGAAAGGAGTGTTTATATAAAGTTCATTTTTAATATGAAACACGTCTTCCATCCAAAAATAATCATCGAAGTTAATCTTTCTCGGTGGAAAGATAAAAAAACCATTGGTTTTATAACCGTATCCTTCTGCATCGACATCCAATTCTAACGTTATATAAGCAGGCCATATCTATATAAAACAATAAGATTTATTAATTAAAATTAATAAAGATGTTATTATTCTTTATTAAAAAATAATAATTCTTACTGTAAATTCGCCATGCCAATAAAAGTTATTTTCGTCATTTTCTTCTTCTTCTTCTTCTTCTTCTTTTTCTTCATTTTCTATTAAAGAATCTTCTTTTACATTTGTTTCGCTTATTGTTGGTAAAATTTTCATTTTAATAGGAATACGAAGTGGAGGTGGTTTATATCCAGCTTTAGCACATAGACCGAATTTAATTTCTGCTAAATTTACAGAAAATTCTGTATCTAAGAATAATCTTTCGTCGGGTACCGTATGAAGTAACACTAATTTTGCGATAACTCCATTTTCCTGAAGACCGTAAATAGGTGTAAAGAGTTTATAAGTATAGTGAAAATCTGTAATATTGTTGTAGTACCAAACACCCTGAAATCCGGCTGTCATATTGTTATATGCAACTCTGAAGTCAGCTTCCTGTTTGTTAAGTTTTGCTACTAATAACGATTTTTGAAGAATATCTATTGGTGTGGCCAATAATAGTTTTATATTAAAATCATACGATGACGTAAATAATTGGCAGATAGCTTCGAAACCCAAGGTACCAGTTGGATTAACGATTTCAGCTACTACGTGTCTGTTACTTTCCGATAAACCAAATCTCGCCTTAACAAAAGCATATTTCTCTATCGGTGTTGTTAAATTAAGTTGTAGCATTGATTCTTTTATGTGACTAAGATCTCCAAGTAGATTTCCTGTATATCTTCGTTTATCAAGATCCATGGTAGCTGCACCTATTATCTTCCAATTTGATATAAGGCGCAGTTGGCTTTTTATATCACATTTTCTATAATTTTCTAAGGGTAACTCAAAGTGTAAATTTCCAGTTAAATTAAAGACAGTATCGGATTCTTTATCAAAATGCCAAATACTCCATGCATCGATTATTTTGTCCGGATGGTATTTGATTAATATACGAGTATCCGCAGTCTGCGAATGAAGAATTTTGTGCGTAACGTTAGCCGTTATCCACTTAATAGAATGAATTGTACTTGACAATCCGCAATTGCCAACCCATTCGCTAACTCCATCGTATTCTTCAGTATTAAAGTAAAAGTCTCCGATAACGTGTTGCGTATCTTTCCAATAAACACTACCGCTTGCTATTATTTTTTTCTGTGCTTGCAAATACCTAAAAACGATTCGTTCGAATATAAACTAAAACTATCTATGATAATTATATATTATTAATAGAAAAAATAATGCCATAGTTTTCTTACTTACTTAGCATTTAATGCTGTTTTTTTCCATTGATCAAAAGGAGTTAGCAACTGAGATTCAAATTTAAGTGAATTTAACCAGGTTTGAAAATTGTAACCAATGTCCACGGAAAGGTGAATTGTTTTTTCTGGATTCCATTGAATTACTCCGTCTGCTATGTAATTATATTTATCTCGTACAGCTAACAGGCATGAACCAGTAATAAGTCTACCAGGATAAGTCAAAGTTACAGCTGCAGTCAAATTTTTTCCAGGTACACTATCAGACGATAAAGCTGGCACATCAAATTTATTGAGTTGCAAAATCGATGCGAACTTTAATGCAGGATCTCTATTAGCATCCCATTTCACCTCGATACCGTATTCTTTTTTATCTTCTTCGTTGATAGCAGATAAGGTCAAGTGAACATCTCGCCATTTATCAAGATGCATTTCTATTCTGGTTTCTCGTTCGGTATCAACATTACTTAAAACAGAATACACGTTACTTTTATATCTACCTTCAATGTACGCCGACAGTTTTGTAAGCGATAATATCGTATAATTGACAATAAATGCATATTTGTCCATGTCTTGCTGTTCTACATAGATGCTAATTCTCATATCATTGGTGTTGTGATACAATTTACAATTAAGAATAATATCATTAGCAAAACTTGGCGATCTTAAGATAAGCTTTAGATTATGACTGATCGAAGCAGATCCTGATCGGTCTGTATAAGTTCCACGGGCAGTCATATTATGACCAGAAAACCATGTTCCCGCGAATTCCAGTTCATATTCTCTTCTTGATCTTTCTGTTATTCGAGCGTTTATTATCATTGAATTGAAATTAGGAATCGTCAGATTAGCATGAGCTTCCACAACGAACATCAGTCCTCGTGGTATTCTCGTGCTCACCATCAAATGAATTTCTTTTCCTACGTGTAGGAATATCCAATATAAACATTTAAAATAAATTAAATAAATATATAAAGCAATCATCTATGATATTACGATTAATTGAAAATATTATCAAACCTGGAGCGTATCCTATAAGAAGGCTGGTCTTTGATTCTATCCCGATAACGTAATGATTTACTCCTACTTTAATATCAAGATTTTGTATCGGTTTCGTAATAGCAATTAGTGCACTGACTTTCGTTCCTTGATTTTGAAAATACATTTTTGAATAGGAGATCACGAGTTGTGCAGTAAGCTTATGTCTTTCATCTTGAAGATGTGGACTCGAATTAACTTCGGCATGTAACTCCAAGTGTCCTAGAGCTTGTTGATACCACGCTGTTATCATCGTGTTTAATTGTGGATATGCGGTAGAATGTAATTTCAAATCCGCTGATTTATGTGCCAAGTTTTTCGAAGATCGATTAGTTAACGTAATTTCTAAATGCAATGTCTCTTTCTTTGGCATTTTTTGAAGTTGATAATCCAATTGAAAATCAGCACTTAAACTAACATTTCTCTTCACAATATAGCCTACTAATTTGCTCCAGACTTTTTTCGTTTGGAAAATCAAATCGATATCGCACTGAGACAAATTGTTCTTCTGTACGTTCCTTATCGTACCTGAAAAACAGTTTCTACAAAATTCAATTCGAAATGTATCACTACTATAAAAATAATTAAAATATAAGAAGTACAAATACCTGAAACGGCTACTACACGTTCACTGTTGATATCTAAGTAGAATTTTGGATTGTATATATACCCATAAGTGAACTTCTTTTTTGTATATCCAATACTAGCATCCAAATGATTAGTTCCATTGATATCGAAACCTACTTCTATAAACGTTTCATTTTCCGTATTCTTATACGTACCTAAAATATTTGCAAATTTATTTGTTATATATTTTTTCAAGTAATACATATAAACAAAATATCTAGAATTAACGGACCTTTTGCTATCAAAGAATTTCCAACCGAATGTAATAAAACAGTGACATTATGATCTTTTAAATCGAACGATACCGTGGCACTTAATTCTCTCTTCATTTGTGATCCAGGTGTATCAAATGCCACTTTAAACACGCTTTGTTTCTACGATCAATCGAAATTAATCAAATCATTGACTATGTGTTATAATATATTTTGTATTAAAAATAATAATATAAAATGTGACCAACCTCCGTTCGTACCCATTTGTATTCCAATAAATAAGTCTTAGCAGTGGGATCAGCTTTGATTACCGAAACTTTGAAAAGAGTTGGACCATTTAAAAGGAAATACGATGTATTAAGGTTCTTCGTTATATTGGGAATCTGATAATCAACACACATTTTAAGACCGATAAGCTGATCGAGCGTTTGCCAAGTGCAAGTCTTATTGCTAATGATTTCTGGTACTGTTAATTCCTTTGATGAACTGGAATGTCGATCAGTTTTTAGAATACCTAGTTGTGTTTCCTCGGTCTCTGCCCCATTCGTTTCTACCAAGAAAACGTGCGTAATGATGGAGAAAATTTCTATTTTGTGGTTTGGTAAGCCAAGATTCAATTGTACCAAACGTACTCCCTCGAGATTAAAACGAATTTGAACAGCTCCCGACGAATACATATTCATACGCAATTTAATTCCAGCACTTTTATAAAATGCATCGACCATCATAGTGCCAACAATATCGACGCTAACACTGAAAATAGAAATGATATAAATTTATATTCTATTAAAAATTATATCTTTAATTATATATTGAATTTACTTTTGGATTCGTCTCGTACCTGGGAGTAAAGTTTCCTATAAGTTCTAATTCGGTATTCATTGAATGGCTAATGTTTAAAAAACCAGCCAATTTAAATTTACAAGCGGCTGTACCAGTAAGATCTAAACGTATGGGCAAACCTGACGTAGTTGGTATCACGTACGTTGAATCAAGGAACATCACTGTATTATCGTAATGAATTTCTTGAGCTGATAGAATCTTTTTTATTTTTTCCCATGGATTTAAATTAGCTAAAGTTTCTTTGATTTCCTTGTCACCATTTAACATTATATATTTTAGTTCATTCCCAAAAATCTTATAACCTAAACTAATTTTTGGATCGTCGAAATTATTATCAATGATATTAGGTAATTTTTTAACGCGCGACCATTGATCCTCGCTTTTAGGCGCGGATCTGAAATTCCTGATCAAGTTCTTGAAGTGATTAGATACTTTCTCATTGCTGTAAGGTCCGTCGGGTCCAAAAAAATGTTCAGCATAATATTCAAGGCCCTCCATTCTCATTGAAACTTCGAATAAATTTATAGACTCTCCGAGTAAATCTATTGTCATATTAAAACTCGCAGTACGTGGTATATATGATTTCGGAGAAAAGATCAAATTACTCTGATGGTTAGCACCAAAATTATATTCTTCAGAGAAAAAAGAACCTTCATAATTCCGTGAAAATTTCCTAATGTCGCTATTAAATTTAGTTCCAAGATCTCTATCGGACAAGAGACTCTGTATTTCTATTTGTGTTGGTGCCGACGAAGTATAAAGGTTGATTAAATGACTCCATACAAAGGAACCGACTATATAAGAGATTAAATAAATATTAATAATCACATTAATTAATTAGCATTATTTCACGTCATTATTAAAGTCAATGTCTAATTAAGGCACGTACAGTACCTTGATTAACTTCTTCAACCGTAAGGGCATGCTTAATGGTCTTCACGACGTTGTAATCAGGACAACGCATTACTTGTAAATACGATGCTATACGTATTTCTGAATCAAGTGTAAAGTTTCGATAATAATTCAGAAAATACCGATCGCGAGTCTCTTCACAGGATGGCAATCTACGATGTGCATTTATTGCCGCAACACGAACTTCCATCGTTACGAAACCACCTACATTATCTATACAAACTTTTAATTTTTCTAACAATTCATCGGTTTTCAACCCCATATTTTCTGTGGCTTTCAGAGCTTCCAATGTCTATAATAAGTATAAGTTCAAAGTAAAATAATCATGAGACATCACTTACATCAATAATTACTCGATAATGCTTACTTCTTTAACTTCTGCAAGCGAATGATAGCGAAGAGCACAACCTTTGTTAATCTTTTGTTCAAGATAAGAGAGAAATTTTGTAATATCCTCGAGACGATTACAATTTGTAATAGTTGACTTGCAAAACGTGTGAATAACGGATGAATAACTTAAGATAAATTGAGTATTAGGTATCTTATGTTGAAAATCCAAGAGAGGTGCAAGTGTTTGGATAGTTCCATAATTTGGTCGAGGAATTAGGCCAAATATTGTGATCCAATTGGCAGTAGTTTCTTGATTGACATATTTTTTTATTATCAAATCCTTCATAACGTTCACTGCAGCATTACTTCCCATATATGGTAACGCATCGATTATATGTTTTCTAGAGAAATAAAAAATGACAAAATTTACATGTATAAAAATATATTAAAATTATTATTTTTAAATTATTAACGTCGATAACTTACTTGCCAGTTTTACAAATCCCATTTGCTCTAGCAAACAACTGCGACAAATAAGGATAATCAAGAAGACGAGCCGATTGAACGAACGCGGTGAACGTTTCGGAAAATCTCTGTTGAATTTCATCGAAATTTTCGCTGTTTCTACATAAAATTTTTAAGAAATCTCTTGACGTTCTTAACTCTCCATGTATCGTTTTAGATACCTTCTCGTGATTGTAAAGTAAATTGGTTCTAATCGCGATACCCTTGACGATATATTCGTCATCTTCCTTCGACTCTTCTTCATCATAAAATTCATCTTTGACTTCCTCTATGAGCTGAAGAATAGCAATACTTTCTGTTCTAGCACCAACAGTGTTATCGTTCGATAGTGATTGAAGCTGATAAGTATCTTTACAGACAACTCTTTCGTATACGTTATGATCGATCGTTATTTCGCATTCGTTAGTAGATTTCAACAGAGATCGCTTAGGTGCTTTCGTAGTCGATCGAGGATTCATGTAAGAATTAGATTGCAATACAGAAAGATGCTTTCCGCTGAATTGACAATTGGCCAGGTTCTTCGTCTTTTTGATAATCAATTGAGTCTTTCTTGCTTCGTAAAGCCGATAATTTGTCTCGCATATACCATTAACATCGAGTTCGTCGACTCGATGATCAATGTCGAATCTTTTCATAGTATTTTGCAGTATGGAAAGAACACCACGTTTCAAATTCAATGCCCAGGCTGTTTCACGACGGTCCGGACAGACCTCATTTATTCGACCATCCTCAAAAGCAAATCTCAAAGAAAAACGTTCTAAGTTGGCTTTGAATTCTGCTCCAGCACGATCAGGAAATTCGGTATTATAGCGTTTGCGATCATGATATACGTTAACGTCCTGAAATTTCAAAATACCCTCGCAAGGCGAAGTAAAATAAACGGACAACGAGGCATCTATGTTCAACTTGGTCTCATTTTTCGATTCTTCTCCAATCGATGGTGACGTTTCAACTTTACCGAGATTTGTGCTTACATCCACAGAATATTGGTATTGATAGGAGACACCTTCTTCGTACTTGAACTTACGATTAAATGATACTAAAACACGAAGATTGAATTATCATATCGAGAAAATTTCAATTAATATGTACATATGTACAATTAATATGTACATTGATTTAAATTCAAATCAATTTCAATATCAGTATGTCAATGATTACCTTTGCATCTCGTGCGACTACATAATGTTGGATCTTTGATAATCTCTGAAATAAAAAGTCAAAGAAAATATTATCGTACGCCTTGTTAACAATTATACGATCTATAATCTAAATCAAATAAATCGCGAATATAATTGGAACACTTTACGTTACCTCCTTGCACAATTTTTACGAGAGTACACAAAAGGGTAAAAAATATTACCCTCCAAAAGAAAACTCTCCGATCGTGCAACATCTTATCCTTTTTTCTCTTTCCCACCCTTTCTCTCTCTCTCTTTCTCTTTCTTTCTCTTTCTCTCTTGTTATCGTTGATTACCAAGGTCACTGTATTATAACTGTCCTCTTCACTCCCCCATATGCACACTTATCCCTTTACGTTTGCAATCGGCACAACGTCGTATTCTTAATCATAAAATTGCAGCGTTTCTATCGAACGTGCTTGTATGCCAATAAAATTGCAACAAGTAAGCTCGAATTGTCAAGAAAAGTTCAACGATTTTTCAAGATCTTTCCTCCTTTATTAGATCACACGACAAAAGATCGATCGGCTTAAAACGCAACATCGTTATTTCGGATAATTTATCCCAGTGATGGAGAATTTTTTTATTTTTTTATTTTTTTTTTTATTTTATTTTTTTTCTTTTTATAGATGATTCGATGGATCACTGCACGCTAGTGCACGTTAAGCCGGGAGGAGACTGTAGGAGTTCGAAGAGCGGAAAAGTCAAAGCGAGGACTAACTGTGGGGTGCAAAGCTGTGCTCTCGCACAGGGCTTGCTTGATTAAACGTATACGCGAATACACACGGTAGTATCGGTTAAATAAGTGCTTCCTGCCACAACCGTGTCCGCAGTTCGAATGGACGTCGTCGTCGTCCAATAACGTACCCGCTTAGGGGGAAAAGATCGGTGCCAAAGGTCTTCGTGCTTTTCGTGTTTGTACGAGGTCAAAAGTCTCCTATCGATAAGATAACTACTAGAATGATCTTTCGTTTCTGAAAACTAAGAATTATTCGATTCCATAAGTTTCCTCGATCCTCGATCAATAACGATAAGATGAATAAAAAAAAAGTCTTAAGATATAATAAAATCAGGGTGTTTTATTTCTGTTATTTACTTTCATAAGTCAGAATGACCGGGTAAAGAATAATACGCGTTGATTTATCAACTTTAATAATTCATTTCATATATACAGTATATATATATATATATATATATATATATATGGTACATATGTATATATATATTTCTAGAGCTTTGATCTGTACTTCCGGTAACTATCTAACGAAATTACAAAAATAATTATCGTAGTATTTACTATGAATAAATATTGTAGTATTTACTAAGAATAAATATCGTAGTATTTAATACAAATAAATATCATAGTATAATTATATCGTAGTAATTATCGATTCTCATCCATTTTTAATTTTTTTATGTTTTTCTTCATATTTAATTTATAATCTATAATTCCAATATCTAATAATTTATAATTTTATTAATTTATATCCTTTTTTTCGGAGAAATTAAATAATATTATTTATATATGTTGAATAAAAATATGCTTGTGATATTTATAAAAACTGTGAGTGACTGCTAATAGTTAAAAATATTAATTCGTCTTCCAAACTTGAACTTGCAGGTTTTCATGATCATTATGATAAATACTTCCTAGAAGATTGTCTAATCCCATTATTATATATACTCTATGTGTGTAATACATACGTAAAGATATGTAACATTTGTTATTATGACCTTGCGATCGTGAAAGGAAGGAAATTTAGCTAAACGAATCAAATATTAATAATTAAGTTATTATGATAATATGATAAGTATACAATTAAGTACATAGAGATGATATAATTATTTATGATATTACTCATATTTGTTATATATATATATATATGTAACATATATCGATATATTTCAATTTTAAGATTATTGAATAAGATTACAGTTGCAATTTAATTATAGATTATATTTATTATTACAATAAAATATATTTGATCTATAATACAATAATTTGTTTTATTGAACGGATATGAGATCGTTGATAATTTATTTAACTGTATTAATATTAATATAATACATTGAAATCTACGATATGAACGATAAACGAACTAATTTCAATTTAGTCCTTGGATACCTTCCACAGCATTCAAAAGTTCTGTTTTAAAATATTACGTAGTCTACATTCAACATGGCCGTTGGCCAAGGACCAATAGGAAAATGCGTATTAAGTTCCTTTTACTCAGCACTGCTCATAGCCAATGAAATAATGTTTTCGTCCAATCGGAAGGATGAGTCGCCTACGACAAAGAAATATTAGCTGTTTAAAAAACATGGTAGCTCGATGCCTGAAACATTTTTTTCTCCAATCTGTGACTAACTTAGCCTGTTTGCTACTAACTCTTCGAATGTGTGCGTGAGACCACTCAGCTGTTAGTTGTATAAGTACATGACAGGAGATATTCTGATCATAACAATTCGCGCGGCGTATCTTGTCAAAACGAAACGACTTGTTATATCCATCGTGCGATCGAGTTTAGTCTCGTGACAGCTAACTACGAAAAGTTATGCGCTTGTAAAAAAATGAGGACTGTGTTTGGTACGTCTCATGTTGCTTTGATAATCGTTTTCTAATTCGACATCGAACTTGTCGAATGAGAAGCAGTGATAAAGGAAAAATCGTTAATAGGAACTTGATTGCATATAAAAATGGGAAATTGTCTAAAACGCGCGGGAGGCAGTCAGCAGGACAATACCACTTTGCTCAGCAGCAATCCCGATCCTTCAATGATTGGAAGTTCGTCACAAGATGCACTCGGACCTCAAATACCTTATAATGTAACTCTATTTTATTATTACTATTTATCGAATGTTATTTTATTAATCGGCAGACGTTTAGACAAAAAGAAGATTTATTAGATTTCTAAAAATTTATTACTTTCGACAGACACAAATATTTTTTCTTTTTATTTTTTCTTCTTCTTCATTGTTCTTATTTCACAATAATCTAAATAACTATGCTTTTCTGTAATGAAAGCAAATCGCCGCATAATATATCTTACTTTAACATGATAAATATGCATTAGAAATAAAATAATCATTTTATAGGAAATTATGGGATCTTATTATCCTGTAACAGCGACAAGAGAACATCGTTTACAGTCCAATTTAAATGTCTCACGTGGAATTGGAGTTGGACTTAATTTAGGACTTGGCGTTACATCTGGTAGTATAAGCGAAGAAGAACAGCAGGTACGAATTGCAAAGCGTATAGGACTCATACAACATTTGCCCATGCGACAATACGATGGAACAAAGAAAGGAGAATGTGTAATATGCATGATGGAGCTTATGGTAGGAGAAGAAGTTCGTTATCTACCTTGTATGCATACTTATCATGCAGTGTGTATCGACGATTGGTTACTCCGTTCACTCACTTGTCCATCATGCATGGAACCTGTAGATGCTGCTCTCATTAGTTCGTATCATCCTACAACTTAATATTACAAAAAATATACTGGAGTAGTTCATCGGAAATCCGATTAAACTACATTAAGCAAAGTGACTTGAAGAATTGCTAATTTTATCATTACATACAAATGCTTGATTATGGAAAGACTATTCGAGTTAAAAGCTAATTATATTTACTACTGTATATGATATATATGCGCCTGTGCTAATTGATAAGAATATTCATACAGTGAAATATTTCAATTGCAAGTATCCTTTACATGATACTTTCTTGTTACAAATGAAATATTCTATTTGAGCTGAAAAAAGGAAGATGTTTTATTCCTCTAATAGAAGCGTAATACCAACATGATCTCTCATAAATTATCATGTATGTATTATTTTGTAGGAATATAATATATTCTTATTTTTTTTTTTGGCCTGAGTAAATTCAAATCAAGCATATAAGTAATATGGAAATACAATTTAATTATGTAGACATAGATCTACGTCATGTTAAAGTAGTCGAAACATGGTAGGAAAGTGTATGCAATTGTGGTAAACATAAACAATAGGGGACTATATAATAAATATAATTAATTAGTAATATCTTTTTTTTTCAAATGTTATCTTTATTTTTTCATTACTTCTTATGTAATTGCAACTTTTCTTAAGAAGTATTCACATATAAATAACTTAATTTTGAGAAAAATATAAGCATAAATTTTATAGATTCTAATTTACTTTTAATTTGTTGCATAATCCCCAATTGTTGAGAAGTATGCAGTAACTCATTTGTATTTCATTCTTATTCAAGCATAATCAGACTTTTAATCAGGATTGATTGATAAGCTTCTGAAGAATTAGTTCTCTAAATATGAAATGCATAATGTGATCTAGTAAATTATAAGTGTAAAGGTGCAGAACATCGATGGAATCTATATTTTCATAATGAACTTGACTTGTAAGCATTTTAATCATTTTATTAACTTGAAATCTTGGGTGCATTTTTTTTCTTATATTTCATAAGAATATTGATGATTACACTATTATGTAATGAAGCATTACAAAATTCATACAATTGCACATTGCATTGCATCCACATTGTTAATGCTTCCTCTAACAAAGATAAAACTGAAATCGATATAATAGTTATTATATCTTTAACTTTTATTAATGGTTTATTGTCTCAAACTTGTTACTGCAATTATAGTTATTTTAATACTCTGCATTATATAAGGTAGCTGCAAATTAACATTCACGAAGAACTATATAAATTAAATTTCGTAATATCAAGAAAATACATATGGTTGCGGTGATTATTTTTCTATTGTTGAATTTGAGATCTAGATTTACATAATACACATTTTATAGAATATCTTTTAGCTTCAAGACAAATCAAACAATTACAAAAATATGTGTATCTACATAAAGTGATCAATGGAACACCTAGGCTTGACTATAAATTGAATAGATTTGTTAAATCATCTTTTACATTAATGATAAGTCAAAGAACAGGTAAATAATCTATTTCTTACACCAATATATAGTATGAAGATTTGCTGTCCAGAAAAATATGGCTAAGATGGACATGAAAATATAATTTTAATATTTTATGACAGCTTAATATGTAATACCGCTAAGTTTTTGTTTAAATGGGAATATGAAGCTGTGAATTAGTGATTTAATGATATAAAAATATACGTATAGTGATTTAATACAAATATAAATATTTAGTAACAAATTTCGTTTTACAAAAATTTGTTCTACCTTTTCATTAATTTAATATTTCAAAGGTTATCATAAAATGACTGCTTTTCAAATTATATTAAATAGAAAATTTTACTATTGAAAAATATAAAATTAATGAATGAATGCGTGTGTATGTTTATTACACATTGTTTTTGTGAGTACTTTTTTTAATGTATTTTTAACATTTTTTAAATTCTTTATGAAATAATCAATTAAAATGTAAAAATATAGTATCAAAGAGTAAAAGCCATTTAAGATAAATGTAAAAAAACTATTAATTCTCAAATATTGAACAATTTTTTTTATACCAAATTAAAACTTACATAAAACTTAATTTAAAATATAACGTTTTACACACAATAAAAAAAGTCGCATGATACTCCAAAGCAGTAAGACTAAAAGTTCATCAAAATGTCAATATCTTTAATTTATGAAGACAGCATGATTTTTGTCAACTGGTAAGTCAATGCGACAGAATAATGATAATTAATTCTTTTAAAGTTTATAAAATCTTTAGTTAAACGTAAATACATTAAAATATATATAATAAAGTATTTAATAAGTGAATACTTGGGCTTCACACCCTGCGTGGAACATACTCAATACAAAAACTTTTGTACACTGTTTTTATGTAAACTCTTGTTCTTTGCAAGAAAAAAAAATTATAAATAATTTCTAAATCTTAATATAATTATTTTAATATAGTTCTTAATATTTCTGTTGCCACTTGCATTGTTTGATCATCCACTAATACGATATCGAACTCCTTCATATAATTAGCCAGATTTTCTTCTGCCTACAAAACAATATTAAAATATTTCCAAATTTCTAAATTTATTTAAAGAATAAATTAATCAGAGAGGATCTTACTTTGTCATACAAAAATCCAATTTTTAATACTGCTATTGTGTCATCCATACCATTAACCATACTTGCATCTCCAGTTGTATCACCCATTAGTAATACATGTCGTCTTCCTTCAATAACTTTAAAATATTCTTGCTCAAGAGCATGTTCATTTTTATTAAAAACATGTATTAGTTTTTTGTTTTTGAATCCATCTATTTTGTTACCATTATATTTAAGAAAATTCGATATAATTTTAACATTATTAAAGAAAACTTTATGACATTTTAAAACAGCTTCTACAACATCTCCTAAACCAGCACTAAATACAAGAACTGGTATGTTAGCCTCATATAACTTTTCCAAAAGTTCTTTGGTACCATCACGTAAAGGTGTACCATATTTTTCTGCAACTTCAGACAATTCTTTTGGATCAAATTCTATTCCTTTTAACAATTTTTCAGCAGCTATCATCCAATCGCTCATAGCTTCTATTTTTTCTTTTAAAGGTAAATCTGGATCAATTTCTATAGGTCTGTATTTGTGATATAATCGTCTAGACTCATTCATATACGCAGATGGTAATTGATTACATTTTCCAAATAAACCTAAAATTTAAAATATAAATACAAGCAATACAATATACGTTAATACAAATGACATATATACAAAAATTAAAATATCAAACATTTGTTATAAAATCTTATATAAAACAGGATATATAAATCTTATATGTTTAAATATATTTAGGATGATATGTATATAATATAAAATATAAATTACCGAAGCTGCTAAGTACCAATTTTCCATCAACATGTTGTTTGGTCAATGTTAAGTCAAAATCTGTGACAATCTGTCAAACATTTATAAATTTGAATTTATGGATGTACTCAATGTAAATTTTAAATCTGTTATTATGAAAGAAAATAATTTCATAAATGTACCTGTAGATGGTCTGCTCCATCACGCAGCATAATATTAATAATATTTATCGTAGCTTTTGTATCCTTGATATAAACATGTTTTGACTTTAAAACAGGAAACTGTAAATGATAAAAACTATAACATAATCCATTAATAAACTTCATATATAACATATGTAATTTAAGGTACGTACGTCATCGATAGTAAGTTTATCGGGCATCTTTCTGCAATGCAAAAAAAAAACTGAAATTGACAAAAATAATATTTCTCAATTGAATTAACAATTAAACGTTATTGAATCTTCGCTCTTAAAATATTTCTTCAGTGCTCTCAATATAACTCGTTTATCCTTGACCTAGTAAATTACTAATCCACCAACCCGAAAGACTTAAGGTCGATTCATACATTTGAGTTCAATTTCCGTTTCGATTGTTCAATTGTTCAAATTATAACACTATTGTATGTAATTTAAATATACATATTTAAATACTTCCGTTTAATCTCAAAATCTCTGATCGTCATATTTTCTCTATTATCCTAGTTCGTCATCAATGATGTTTATTTTTAATTACTGACGGAATTTTGATAATTTTCAGTCTTTTGTACATGAAAACTAATATTGAATAGACGAATATGGTACAATTAATTTATAACTGGAATTAATTACGAGCTGTGATGTAGTAATGAAATGAGATCTGGGTTGATACTGAACTGAAATGTATAAATCAAATTTAAGGCGATCATCTATCGCGTATTTGTTTACTATATTATGAGTTCTTATAAGTGGGAGGATCACCGATGAAGTGAGACAACAAACATTATTTTTGTACCGGCATCTCAACCAATCTCGCAGGCTACCTTCGAGTAGGCTACGAGCATCACGTTACAAAAACTTAATAGTCTAACAAGCAGAAACTTACAATATGTTCATCTTCTAAAAAAAATTAGATCTCAGCGCGCTATTGTCGAAAACATACGTTATACAAGTGATATTTTTAAAATGACATTTTTAAATTTGTGATAAAAACGTCAGCGTATTATGTTACAGCTGAAACGATTTTCCTTCGCAAATTGCGATAATCTTGTTCTATAAATAGCCATATAAATTTTTATCTTTTGTGAATAAAAATCACAATTTTAAAGTGCTAATCACGTCTCTTTCGCGATGGTCTCCGATTCCTTTAGACACGCACTTATTTCGTTGTGCGCAAGGTGTTATACGCAAGTGGTTAAATATGAAACTACAATCATTGTAAACACACATAAGATTAGCATATAACATATTGTTTAAAATATTTAAGAATCTATTAAAAATTGTCTTAGATTTTTAGGAATATATTAAATTAATAAGTTTACGATTTCTTTTTAACCATTAAATAATGTATTATAGCATGAGAGCATTTCATTTTATTATTTTATTGAAAGAATTGTCGCGCATGCGCATAACAAATAAAATTCTCTATTAAGCAAGAGAATAATATTGTTTATATCGTAATGTTTTCAGCTTTTTCCCGATCTAACTAGTAATATAGTTTCATTACATATAATGATCTATCGAATTTCTTAATTTGACAAGTTGACCAACGATACTACATCAAAATTTCCATTAACACGTTTCGTATCGTGTAAAAGCACGTATGCATTCTACATTGAACTTTCCGTAGCTATTTCAAATTCTCTTTTTAAAAAGAATAAAACTATGTATTTATTAAAATAATTTCTTGAAAATTAAATTTATTGCTTTGTTGTCTTCTGCATCTTAAACTTTACCTTTTTTTTTATAATTATGGTTTTTGTATTATAATACAGATTGTAAAGGCATGCGTTAGAAGCAAAACAAATTTAATCGGAAAGCGGCCTAAACGAAATGTCCAAAAATCAGACTGTCACGGAACGTGTTAAACTATTGGACATCATACTGTACAAAACAAAAATCGACATGGATATATACATATAATTTTTTTATTGTATTTCTTATTTGATTTTTTTTATAACTTCAATTATAACTTTCTGATCAGATTCTTATGAAAAAAATGTAATTTTCAATGGCGCTGTAAGCAAGGAACTTTAGAACAATTCTGACACAAGAAAATCCGCTCTTTGATATACATTGACTTGAAAGATTAGTGATTAATAAAAAGTTGTCGACTTCAAATTTATCTTGTGAAACTATTAAAATAATATTGACAAATATGAATGAAGACAATTCCTCTAAAAATGTATCAGATTCGGATTCTGTCAATTATTCGGTTATGTTAGATTCGGGCCAGTTTGACAATAAAGAATTAGGTACAATGAGAGGCGATAGCATAGGAGATACTGTTTATAGTGCAAAATGGATAATTAATACGCTTATATCTTTATCAAAGGTATTTTCAAATTAATGACATCTATATATTAAATCTTTGTACAAATAATGCTATATCATTGATTATTTAGGTACAAGATGTTGGTTGGACTCAAGAATTAGAAAATGATTTGTGTATATTATGGGATATGACAGCTGAAAAGGACATAGCCATGTATTTATATGAAAATGACTTTTTGAAAATAGTTGAAGCTTCTTTAGAAACTTCTACTGTATCTAGATTAACAGTATGATTTACCAATTTTATTTTTATCAAAAACATATACATTGTCTTAAAAACAATGGAGAAAGTATATATTGTACATTATAAATATATAGGCCATTTTTTGATCAATCCGAGAAAACTACTTATTTTTAGGAGATATTACTTGGTATTATTGGGAACATGAGTTGTCAAACAAGTATATTAAAATCAATGGGAAATAATAAGCAACTTGTCAAAACAATCTGGAATAATCTTTTATCAGATGATACAGAATCTTTACTTCAAATTTTTAGGTTATTACAAGCAGTGGTTTGGGATATTCAAAGAAATCCTGAATCTCAATGGGTAAAAAATATTAAAGAGTGTGATTTTTTTAGTGACGTTGTGATTTTTGTATTAAATAGTTCTACTAATAGTAAGTATTATACTGTCTTTATATTATAAACTATATATTATAGCAATTGTAAATTTTATTTATAAATGTTGTAGATGATCTACTCGTTACAACTTTAAATTTACTTCTTTCAATTTCACAACTAAGTGATACCAACTTTCTGTTAGAATTATTTAACACAGAAAAACTGGTTTCTGCACTTCTAGAGTGTTTTATGCAAGTTATTCCACAACAAAAATATCTTTTCTCAGAAGCAGAATTAAAAATAATAGAAAAATGGCTCACCGTATTGTCCACTGTAGTAAAATTTCAACAGATAACAGCAAACAATAAAAACAATAAAGACATTATGAAATTAATGGAAATTATATTTAAGATATTACAGCCATATAAACATAAAAGTAATTTGATTCCAATTGATGAGAATTCTGCATTGTGTATTCAGGAATGTATTGAAATAATATTATACATTCAAAAAACTAAAACATGTATTATACCAGAAATAAATAGTATTATAATAAACATCATCTGCAAACTTAAATCAGGTATTTGTATGATAATATTAGTAATTTAAGATATTATCATATATTAATTTCATATTGAGATATTATCAAATTTTGCAGCTGAACAAGATGAATTTAGAACTTATCTAGATGACATAACTATTGAACTTATTGACTATTTAGAAAGATATTGGGTAGAAATGTTAGAAATATATACTACTGACCACATAAAAGATATTCTATGTATATGTAATAAGCAAATTGCAAATAGTTTCGTTGAATTCATTAAACTACGGCCTAATGTATCACAGTTTAAATTAGAGAAGTTATTAGAAGCACATTCTTGCCTCTCTTAAAATAAATATATTAAACTGAATGAAACTTAAATGAAACAAATGGATTTTATATATTTAAGAGTTAAGTTATTTAAATATATTCCATATAATTTCCTAAAAATAAATCACAATAATCACATAATCCCTTAGACGTAAAAAATTTCATCTTCTCCTTTATGCTCTTTATCTCTTTCTTTTTTTATATTTTATAATAATTCAAATATAAATAGTTGTCTCATCGAATAAAATCGATTTACCGAAAATTTTACGGTTTATTTCATATTTTTATATTTTTACGAAATATCATATAAGTAAATAATTTTTGTTTTCTGAAGTGAAAAAATATTAATTTTTTAGTTACTTTCTACATCCTATGGAATATATTATTAACGTACTTATTTTCATTATTATATCTTATTATATATATCTTATTATGTAATATAATAACATTATGTAATATAATAAGATATATATATATGCATGAAAACTCAAATACATTTATAATACATTGTTTGAATTATTATTAAACGTGTAATATTATCGTCGTGACTTTTATAAATTCAATAGAATAGATAACTTCCCATGCGCATATACGTAATTTAGTTATTTTGTCTGCTTATCCTCATATGATCCCTTTATCAGTTTGAACTTTTGAATTAGCGTTGAATTGCTTGCTCAGTCGTTGTTCTACATTTCATAAGAAAACATTAACACAATATAGATCGATTTAAAAAGTACAAGAAATATGACGGTGAATTATTCAACATTTTTTTCAAAAATCGCTCTTAGAAGAAGGGGAAATCTGATTCGGCAAATAAGTAAGATTTGAAAAATATTTTATTTTTTATAAATCTTTATCTCGCTCAATTATAATTATTATAAAAATTTCACTAACATGATATATTTTATTATAAATTTTAGCTGAGATTTACTTAAATAGTAATAATCCCAATGCAATAAATTTTGCTGGTGGAATGCCAAATACCAATACTTATCCTTTTAAAGAATTGGACGTGATTTACAAAGATGGAACAAATTCGAAACTTGAAGGTCAAGATTTAGCATTAGCACTTCAATATGGACCTGCTGTCGGGTAAAGAATTAAAAAATATTTTTTATTTTACAATTATATAATATTTTTTATTTTGTCGCAACGTTTTTTCGTAGATATTTGCCCTTGATAAAAAAGTTCCGAGAATTTCAATACAAGTGGCATAAACCCAAACAAAAAAATTGGGACGTAATATTTACTTGTGGTTCACAAGATGCTTGTACCAAAATTTATGAGATGTTTATTGATGAAGGTGATCCAATTATGGTTCAATCACCAACGTATACAGCTACTATTAATACAGTGAGTAGATAAAAATTTTTAACTACATTTAAATTAATAATTATAATATTATTTATATATATATATATAAAATATATATATATATATATATATTTATTTATTATTCATAAAAATGAAAATAATATTGTAAATCATTTTTAAATAGTTTTACGTTATTTATTTAATTAAACATTATTATCTTAATAAAATACATCGATAACATTTTATTTTTGTTTTAAGTATAATATTTTATCATCTCAAGCGATCTTTACATTGCATTACTTTAAAAGGTAACCGATATCTTTACGAATAGTAAATATTTGCTGTTAGTACATAATCAACTGATACATTACATTTACAATATACTTTTCTTTACATTTAAGACGAAGATGAATTGTAAGAAATATTTCTACTTTGGCTAGAATTAATTAATAATTTATATTAATGTTATGATTCTTTTTTTTTTCTTAACGAGTTATAAGAAATCCTTTGATGGAAACATTTTGATGTATCTCTTTGCAGTTAGCATCCTTGAATGTTGATTTCATAGAAATTAACCAGGATGTTGATGGTATTATTCCTGAGGAAATAATTAAAGTATACGAAGAAAGATTACGCGATGGAAGGCTATTACCGAAGGTAAATAAAATTAAATTAAATCAAATCAACTTCACTACTATAAAAAAACTATAGAATAATTTTGTTAAAAATTGTATCTTGTGTGATTCTTGTCAAAGTTATAAAAATTATTATTTAGTTAATATACATCAATCCTACTGGTGCAAATCCAACGGGAACTATATTATCTGAGAGCCGTAGGAAACAAGTATATGAATTGGCGCAGAAATACAATTTTCTTATTATAGAAGACGATGCGTATTATTTTATTAATTTTTTAAATAAACAACTTACGTCTTTTTTTTCATTGGATATCGACGGACGTGTAATAAGATTGGATTCTTTTAGTAAAATTATTAGCGCAGGTATGCGATTAGGTTGTGTCACAGCTAATACTGAACTATTGAAGGTGTTAATGATGCATATAGAAAATAGCGTTTTACAAGCCTCTTCATTATCACAGGTAAATAAAACACTTCCAACTATTATTATAATGATAATAACAAAAAGTATTATGTGAAAATTGTCAACAATCTCTTTATTTCTCAGATATTTTTGTTTAAATTACTTGATTTGTGGGGTCAGGAACGATTCAATCAACATTTAAAGAGTATTCAAGATTTTTATCTAGCAAGACGTAACATTATGCTAAAAGGAATTGAAAAACACCTTACAGGTACTTGAGACCACTTTATCTTAGTACAAAAAACATCGCGAATAATCCTTATCCGATTTAATTATAAATGTTTATGACTTTTAATATAACTTATAACTTATAATTTTTAATTAGGATTGGTCGAATGGACAGAGCCTAAAGGTGGTTTTTTTATATGGCTCAAACTAATCGGAATTGATGATGCATCAAATTTTGTAAAGGACAAGTGTATGTCCAATGGTATTTTCGTAATTCCTGGAAATGTATTTAATTATGACTTTAATAAGCCGGATCAACACATACGTTTATCTTATAGCTATGGAACTGAAGAGGAAATTGAAAGGGTCAGTTTTTTTTCTATGACTTGTTCAGGCACAATTTCAAAAGGTAAGAAATATTAATAATAATAATTTTGTTGTTATGTGTAGGGACTCTCAAAGCTGGCAGAATTGATACATAAAGTCTCTAAATGATCGATTTAGAGGTATATTTTATATCCTTTTAACATTTTAAGAGGTAAAGGAATAGAAACTGTTGGAAAAATAATATAGAATATTCTTATTTTAAATAAAACATAAAAACAACAATTGGCAATTGAGTATTTTTAATCTTACTTTTCTATTATAAATATTTTGTTCGGAATACCGTTAAAAATTTCAGTTACATATATACTTACATATCATTCTAACAAGTACCTGATATACACATGTATTTAATGTACTAGATGTATAAGGTTACTATATATACTGCATTCACAGTATGCACGCAATATTAACTCTTGCATGCAATAGAATCGATTGTTATCGTCAAGTAATAAATATATAAAAAGTTTATATTTATTTCTTAGAAAATTGCTCATATACGTCCATACGTATGAATGTATGTATTTATATATCGTAAGAAAAAGATTCAAATATTCGACTTAAATCTATAGTTAATACGATCATAATCCAGATTGTTATTGTTTTGTTTTCTATATTTTTCAATAGGTATATATCTGATAAAATACTTATAATATAAAATAGCCAAAATACATATACATACATATAAAGTAGACACAATGGACGCTGACGAACTAATGGATAAAATTATTAATATCATAAGATGTTTGTTTCATTAAATATAATAGAGTAGAGTACCAATTAATCTTGTTAACGAAGGATAAAAAAAGAGGTACGAATAACTCAAGAACATTAATAATCTAAATGAATTTTCATAATTATTTTATTAGGAGATTGTTATATATACATACATGTATATATATATATATATATATATATATATATATATATATATATATGTTATACATAGTCATATATATGTATATATATTAACATATAATATCGTATATCTTCGTACTCATGAGTATATAAAAGTACAGACAAACACGTGGTGTTTTTAAGAAATTGTTTTATTATAAAGTACATAAGTTGTATCGATGATAGCACGGGATCACGATATTAATTCACATTTGACTGTTGATAATGGACACTCTACTGTATTAAATTTAATATCGTGAAAGTATGAAGAAATAACTTAAATAATTGTTTCCTAGAATTGACTAATTTCAATTTGAAACGTAAATGTAAAAAAGAAACGTACGTGTATTTTTTCTTTTTTTACTCATTCGAAATAATGTTACATATAGACCTATCTAAAGGTAATCTATTTTCAATTACATTTATATATCGCACGTATAATTTATCTTTACCACACATTATACGGTTAATTATAGAATCGTAAAGAAGCGAGGTTTTTACAACGATCTTATTCTAAACAAAAAAAAAAAAAAAAAAAAAAAAAACGAAACGTTGTAACAGAAGAGAACGCAGAAAATAATGATAAAAATTACCAGAGGAAATTGTTCAAGCACAAATTATCTAAAACCTCCTTTTACTTTCTATTGAATCAGTCGAAAATACCCGCAGAGCAGTCTGTTACAATAGCTTTTGCTTGTATATAATATAATGCATACGCAATACTTACTATTGACAATAAAACTACTACACATCTATTATTTTCTGGCAACGGATTATTATCACATCGTTTTGGATGCTGGTCATCAAAAGTTCTGACTATTATGTATTTATATGATTTTATTTACGATCGACACTGTAAACAAGAATAACAAGAATTTCAATATGACTTTACATTAAATACTTTTCATTATACTATGACCTATGCATTGGTCAACGTTATTAGGAATTCCAAATGGCAGCGCCATAATTTGTTTATTATTATTTTTTTTTCTTCTAACGAGTAATTCATCTCAAATTTTATTTGTTATCAATAATATGAATCATCCTAAAAAGGACATGAAAATCCTTTGCTAAACAATACTTTCATGCCGTTTGATTGATGATAAAAAAATTTCAATATGTTAAACTAATTCCATATGATGACTTTCGATATAACTATAATGACTATTTTATTTACTATTTTTACTATTTTTATTTACTATTTTTATTATTATATTTTTATTATATTTTTATTTTTATTATTATTATTATTTTTATTATTATTATTATTATTATTATTATTATTATTATTATTATTATTATTATTATTATTATTATTATTACTATTACTATTATTATTATTATTATTATTATTATTATTATTATTATTATTATTATTATTATTATTATTACTATTATTATTATTATTATTATTATTATTATTATTATTATTATTATTATTATTATATTTATTATTATTATCATATTCGATTTAAGTTGCTTATACTCTTATGTTATTTTTAATTCGACATTATATATTTCTGGCGCTGCGAACGATCCTTTAGAAATTTTAATTTATTTTAAATATTCATAATGCTGTATGGCAGATGAATATATTCGAATAATTAGAGAAATTTGTTTAATTCAGTCGCTTCGACTTTCGTTGAAAAGATTTTTGCCGACAAAAACGGGCAAATTAACAACATATTAGCGTAAGTCTAGCGCGGCGACTTAACTCTAAGCGTATTATGTTAGGAGGAAATGTGGAAATTAATCCACACAATGACTTTAGACAATATTATACGTCATATATATAGGTTAAAATATTTCAGTCCCTAAAATAAATACTCGGAAAAGTGGGATTACAATCCTTCAGAATGTTAGAACAGTACCAAAGCGAAATTCATTCAACTTATCAGTACAGCGCAATATGTCTTTCGCGAACACACATTTAAGTTATAATAATAAAAAGTTACTAAGGACATAATTTCAGAATCCGTGCACTAATAATTCAATCGAACAACGTTAACACGCATTCCTGATCAAGTTGAAGAGTTTGCTTCTCAAAGTACACCTTAAAAAAAGTATCATTGCTCTCGTTGTTCATACTGCCCCAGTCTTAGAAATAAAAATGAGGCGTTACGTAAATCTATGTATATTGATCAGAAAACGATACTTTCTTTCTCTTTACACACATATATCAGAATTTCTATTAGAAAATAATTTTCGTTTACTACATATAGCTATTGCTCGATGAATTGGTGTAAGAAAAATCTTGAAAATTCAATGTAATGTGAAGTATCATATTTTCATATCGATCTGATATCTATTCGTGCTTTATTTCTTATACAATTATCATTTCACCTCATCTTTTCCCATTGGCCAAATGCTCGGAATTCATAAATTTCGAACAATACATATTATTTCAAATACCATATACTACCAGATACTATCAGATGTGATATTCCCTAAAAAAATTATACAAAATTTATCGAGTCCGTTATGTAATAAAAAAAAAAAAAAAAAAAAAAAAATGGATCAATGAACGATAGTTCCCATCAACAATATTATTAATACGATGGATAAATTCTGAGCAAACGGCTGAATATTTGGAATTAATATAAAAATAGATGTCTCGCGTGTTTAGTTCATAAGAAAAGTGGAAGAGAGGCAACGAAACCGTATACTCAAAGCGTGTACGGATACTCCGCGAGATAATTTTTAATAATTGGTGGCAGATTTTCGGTAGGTAACTTGCTTCTGTTGACGGTCAATCTTGCCAAGTGAGAAAGGGATCTAACTTCTTTGACCAAAGGTTTCGTGAGGTAGATTTGACTGTAAAGTTGACCGCTAAAATCGACCCAAACCTCTCTTCTATGCTCATCCATTCTTTTCGAATACTCAACGTAATGTTCTAACATTTTGATAGGACAATCGAAGAGCGGCATGGCAAGAGCGAATCTTGGTTCTGCATCTAGCCTAAAGCGTCTAAGAAAATAGTGTACTCTAACGGATGTTGGACCCCTTTCAGTTTGCACAGAAACAGCAAAGGTATATCTGCTGTCGGAGCTATCTCTCATCAACCACTTGCCAACGGCAGCGTTCTTAAGAAGACTCTCACTTTGTTGCCAACTTAGACCCTCATGATACCATCCGCAAGTTTGAAGAATTTTTTTCACCTCCAATAATTTCGCTCTATCCTTATCTATCAAGTAGGTATCAAAACCCCAAGGGATGACCCAGGAAACAGGTGTAGTTGGTGCTTCCTCTCTTCTTTCGGTATTATTGTAAGTACTCCCATTGTCGCAATCTTTCATGACGGAATCGTTTCTAACACAGTCGTTCTCTGACTCGATGATACCACCACCGTTGAAATTGTTACAGTTTCCGATACTCGCGGAACGTTCAGAACAGTTGGAATTCGTTCTAGTTGCCGTTATATTCACAAAACATTGACCTAAATTTGCTGGCAATTGAACAGTAGCGTTCACTTGAATCTGAACACCGCTAGAAGGTTGAAGAAGAGATTCGTGATCGTTTGAATTCTTTGAAAAATCTCCTATGGACGGATTAAATTGCAAACCATTATTAACCATCATTATGTTTCCTTGACAAAGATTTCGAACGTCGTTGTGTGAGCAATCAGACTTCTTTTCCATATAACCGGACTGCGGACGCGAACAGAAGAGCGGATCTTGAAAGGTATCTCGATGTCTTGTTGTTGGCTGCTGTCTTGGTGGTAGTTGTTCTTCTTTACTGTGAAACCTGTCGTGTGTTCGGGAATCTTGCTTGTGCGTTACTTTGATACTAGAAAATCCAGAATCACCCTCGCAAAAATTATAACGTGGTCTATCGAAATCTTCGTCGATTGGTCGTTTTTCCGAACAGACTTTCGACGAAGAACTCCTCCTGATACCCGGCAATTCTTGACATCCACTTGGTGGTATCAGAGTCATTCTATTCGAATAAATATTTTCGAGATTGGAGAAGGCACATCTGGTATTGTCGATTTGTTCGTCCATCGTCGACTTCGCAATTAAACTGTCATCTTGATCGTCCGTCGACATTTTCGTTTGAACAAGACACCCCCCGCCTGATAATTTTGGACGAATTTCGACGTGCGGTGTCTGTACTAGGACGCAAGAATTTGTGCTTTGAATGAAACAACCTCCTGATTGTATACTGGGTGTTGATATCGTCACGCTACCACCTGTCAGATCGCAAGTAGTCGTTATACGACATATCGAAGGTGACTGACGATCTTCCATTTGCATTTTCTTCTGATCATCAGACAGATCAGATCGTGGACACTTCGTTAACCTCTCCGATGAATTACAAGTTGAATTCTTCATCGGCTTATTGTTATCACACGTTGGACCTTTCGCCGAGTCGATCGTTTCGGCGTCAACGATTCTTGTGACGGAACCGCAATGACGTCCGTCTGACTGGATAATAGCTGGCCCGTGAATGATCGTTGGTGCATTTATCACACAACCACCACCGCTGGTATATCCTCTGGGCACCAACATACCGCCATAGTAAGCCGACGTTTCCTCGAAGTTATTGTCCTTTTCCGTTGCTCTCGGATCGCAGCAACCGGTCGCCGGGAACCGATGGCGACAATTAGGACACATCACTGTCAGCATCTTGAAACTTAATTAGCACGCGTCACCGTCGTAGAGTGAAGTACAACATTGGTGGCAGGCCGTCACCTAAAATCATACAACGAAGAAAATTAAACGTTTTTCTAAACGTAGATCTAAGAACCTTGCGTGTTTTATCCAAAATATGCGCAATTTGATTACGTACACTTCACTTTGTTACATATTAATGTAAAAAAGAATTTCTTTTTTTTCTTTTTTTTATGACCAAAGTCATTATATCTATACGGTCGAGTTATCATCGAACGTGATACAATAAACGTGTGTTCCAGCGTGACCGAAGCTTCTAAGCAACGCAGGAAGTAAG